TCATTTATAAAATTTTTAAAGGATATTATTCACCTAATGGTGATTATGTAAAAATATATTTATGGCTCTCGAATAATTTTTAAGTTGTTGTGAGGGACAGGATTGGCTCTTCCAGGGGTCGGCAAACTTTTGAGATGGAATGTACCCAAAGAGCCGCATGTGGCTCATGAGCCGCAGTTTGCCGACCCCTGGTCTAAGGTAAGGATCCATTTTCATTATTTTGCATGTAGATATCCAGGTTTCTCAACACTGTTCGTTGAAAAGTCTGTTCTTTCCCCCATTGAATGGTCTTGGCACCCTTGTCAATACTCATTCAACCATATATGTGAGGGTTTATTTTGAGACTGTCTATTCTATTCATTGGCCATTTTATATCTGTCTTTATGCTAGTGCCATACAGTTTGATTACTGTAACTGTGTAGTAAGTTTTGAAAGGGGAGACCTCCAACTTTGTTCTTTTTTTTTTTCAGATTTTTTTTTTATTGGGCAATTGGGGAAGGAGAACAGGCAAGTTGTTGTCTTTCAGTCTTAGTTGTTGAGGCCACAGCTAGCTCAGCTCCAAGTCCAGTCGCCATCCGGTCACCTGTCCTGCCGCTCAGCTCAAGGTGCCATATTCAATCTTAGTTGTGGGTGGGCATGGCCTACCATCCCATGCTAGAGTCGAACCGGAAACCTGGTTGTTAGGAGCACGTGCTCTCACTAGCTGAGCCATCCTGCCACCTGTTGGCAGCTCAGTGGCAGCTCAGCTCGGGCCCAGCGTCACTGGCCCATGTGGGAATCGAACCAGCGAACCTGTTGCTCAGAGCTTGCCCTCTTAACTAACTGAGCCACTCAGCAGGCTCCTATTCTTCTTTTTTAAGATATTTGGCTATTAATTCCCTTGAGATTTCATATGGGTTTTAGGAAGGATTTTTCTATTGTTGCAAAAAACATCACCTTGCACTGCCTTCTCTACTCTGCCTCCACCCCGCTCCTGCCACATCTTGTGCCTGTCTAAGAACCGTTTTAAACAGTTTCAAAATACAGCATTTTCTCTATTTATTCCCTAATTTTAATTTTCAAAATGGCAAATTACTGCCTATGATAATGAATGTAGAATTAACAAAAATGAGTCTTTATTTCTGAATTTTTAATTCAGAATTTATTTCAGAATCTTATAGCCTACTCAATATAGATTAGAAGTAGAAAACTTCTATCCTAAAAAGTAATATGATGTCTATATCTATAATAAATATAAATGTCACATCTATAATGAATTCAAAATAGCGATTCCTTGAGTAAATTGCAGCTGTTACCCATGCGGAACTCAGTGTGATGCTGATGTTTTATGCCTGAATAGAATTTACTGTGAGTTTTTTGTTGGAATTCCAGAAAATGTATATCTTTAAGGGATTGGATCAGCTCTGTAAAAAACACCTAACAAGTATTATTTAATTAGATATTATTTTAATCCTTCTGCACCTTTCCTACTGCTCTGACCCCAGTTTATCTTTTTGCCAGCTGGACCAGAAACAAAGGGGTGGGATGCAGAAAATGAGTTTGCTGTAAAATGAATCACAGGTGGCTTTGGAGTCAACCACTCATCTCTCTTTCTATATCATTACTGTACTGGATAGCTTACATTTGTTTTCAAGCTCTAATTCATGGACTTTTTTCCTGCCAAATATACTTTTCTGTAAGGGATGCCTTTCTCGTTTTCATTTGTTTTTCTCTGAACATTTAAATTTAAAGACAGTTCAAACAGAATAGTCTGATCTAGGAATACCACAGCAAGTTTAGCAATTCTTGAAATAATAAAACATAATGCTCCGGGATTATTAGAAACCATTTTAGAATTTTGCAGGACCTTGAATGTACTNAGCGACCAATCTGCCTCACCCAGGAAGAGCACAATGATAATACCAACATGGGCCAGTGAAGCAACGTCCTCCACAACTAGACTGAAGAACAAAAAAAGACAGCAACTTGTCTGTTCCCCTTCTCCTGATTCCCCAGCGCTGTTCCCCTCCCCCAATTCCCCAATAAAATCTTTAAAAAAATAAAAGAAAGGAACAATGAGTTGAGGGAAGTTGGAAAGAACTGTGGAAAGACGTAGGGTTATAAGACGCTAGATGAACCTTTGCAGCTAGTGGAGAGGGAAAGGAGAACAGCTCCTGCAGGATAGCACTGGAGGAGAGACATAATCCATATGCTTACTTTCTCTTTAATCAGCATATAACTGCCTGCCCTCAGATTAAGGCAAGTTAAGCTGAGCCATATCACCTTTACTCATCTTCATCTTGTAGTGGGCTTATAAAAGATGATTCTGTGTCTACTAAATTAGAGAGCTATAACACTGCCGTAAACTGCTTGAAGTGAGGGAGTATGGGAGGAGGCAAAACTGTGAACCAAATAACTGATTTTTCCTTCGGCTCGGGTGTTTTTTACTAGATAAGATTGGAAGACAAAAGCTAATTGGACTGCTACTTAAATTTAGTGGTCACCTCATCTGACCTCTCAGCTTCTACTTTACCCTTAACATTTTGCTTCTTTAATAGAGGCAGAGATTCAAGAAACCAGGAGGGTGAGTTGTCACAATTGTCACATTTTATTGTAATGACTTATTTCAGGCCTTTCTCTCCTGCTCGACTTGATATGAGGACAGAGGCTATGTTATTCACTGCTGGATCCCCAGTGCCAACATAATAACTCAGTGTCTGTTTGTTGAATGAATGAGTGAACCTGATTTATTATTTTGAAATACACATCCAATTTTAAATTTATTTTTCTCTTTATTAGATATGCAACCATTATCTCCAATTTCTGTCCATGAACGCTACAGTTCTCCTACTGCAGGGAGTGCTAAGAGAAGACTTTTTGGAGAGGACCCTCCAAAGGAAATGCTTATGGACAAGATCATAACAGAAGGAACAAAACTGAAAATTGCTCCTTCTTCAAGCATTACTGCTGAAAATATATCAGTTTCACCTGGGCAAAGTCTTCTAACAATGGCCACAGCCATAGTAACAACAGGACATAAAGTTACAATCCCATTGCACGGTAACATTTTAATGCATTTATTTTATTTTTTTTCTGAGTTGATAAATTTTAAGAAATGACTTACTGGATTGGATCACCTGGCGTTTCTAATCCAGTATTTTTCAATTTTTATTTTTTAGAGTGGTTTTAGGCCCATAGTAAAATTATGTGGAAGGTACAGAGATT